GGGGGATCCGTCGAGTACGAGTCCATTGCGCACAATAGGACGTGTATAGAAGGGGCGATGACGCTTTGTATACACGAAAGAAGGGCTTTGAGATAAAACGGGATAAATTAGACTGAAAAATGTTTGAAAAATTGGCGAATTGATAGTCGATCAGTAAACTTTTGAAGACAAAACTGAATAGAAACTGAACAAAGTGATCGTTTACTGTACGTTTCAAGACAACATGCTATTTTAAAGCACTAAAAAGTAAAAGTTGAGCTCTCAATCGAAACGATCCAAAAAAGAAGTTCGAATATTGGAGCTAGATCTAACTCATCTTGTCACAAAAACCTTCAAACAGTCTTCGACTTACCCCCCACCCCCCTCTCCCAAATACCACAGGAGTAGACAGGATGAGCCTCATTCCGTGGCCCAGGGTGAGGAGAGCTCAGCAAACATTTTGTCCAGACGCCACGCTACCAATAAGGCCAGTCAGTCCCCCTTTGACTCTCTGACCTTGGGAATGTCACGCGGACCCCCCCCCCCTTTCCGTCCTCCGAAAAAACAAGAAAACAAAAAGCCGGACCACTTTTCTATTGTAACCCCTGACCCCTGTCCCACTCCCGACTTCAAACTTCTTTTTCACTAGAAAGGAAGTTCTATACTCCTACATTGAAGACATCGTTGGTGGAGCTCGACCCCTGTTAATATTATAGTGATTAGGATAATTGTAAATAGTGCGGAGCATTTTTAACACAATTATTTTACGTGGGTGTCGATTATGACTTCTGAAAGCTCACCTCCACAATTTGTGTATAGCTGCATGCCATCAGCCAGATGTATTCAAAAAGTGGTTCTGCATAAGGTATTCAGCAACTTCGTCAGATATTACGACCTTTATATTATAGAGTTTCCAAAAACTAGCCAAAGGCAGTGTATCTTTTTAAAGTAAAATTTTAATCTATGTTTAAAACACAGGACGTGGAGTCTGCCAAAACGTGATGAGGTTTTTGGGAGGTCTTGTTACATGTTCATGTATTCAGCTTTTTAATATTTGAGGGGTATTTGTGTGTGTGTGTGCGTGTGTGTGTGCGTGTGTGTGTGTGTGTGTGTGTGTGTGTGTG